ATGCCATGGCATCTACTTGCAAAGAGCCACCCTTATGGGGCAGATCTTATAGTCCATCTATTCTTTCTCCCATCTCTAGGAATGCTCACCCTAGTTCAGGAAAAATTAAGCAAAAGACAATTGAACCCTTAGATTGGATAAAATTGGATAATTGCACACTAGAACTTGATTTAATACCAGGTCTTTGTTTTAGTTTTATCATTTTAATATGATTTTATATGTTGTTTTAATTTTGAGGAGCCACCCAGAGTTAATTAGAGGGTGGGTGGATATTTAAATACTTTAGATAAATAAATAAATGAATAAGGAGAAGAAAAGCATATATAGACAATGGGAAATTCACAGAAAATTACACAGCTGTTTGTTTTGTAAATCCTCTGATGGCTAAGCACAAGTTGCGCTGAAGAAAAAAGTAGTCAGAAAGTAATTAGCCTATTAAGATCAGAGCAGAGCACTTGTTATGTTGCAGCTTGTGCCTGTTTCATTTCTCCCTTCCAGATGAAAAAGGACTCCTAAAAGGTTGCCTGCATTTATTAGCTTATGTGCAACATTTCACTTGTTTTTACTGGGAGTGGAATATTCCAAATATTGAAAAATCAATTCCAATCTAACTTAATCAATTTTTCTGTCACTGTAAAGACACAGTATTGTGCATTATGTGTTCTCCTAATAGGGTTGGATTTGGTCAGTGGTAGGATTCAATTTTTTTTACTACCAGTTCTGTGGGTGTGACTTGGTGGGCGTGTCATGGCTTGGTGGGTGTGGCTTGGTGGGCGTGGCAGGGGAAGGATACTGCAAAATCTCCATTCCCACCCAACTCCTGGGGGAAGGTTACTACAAAATCCCATTCCCTCCCACTCTACTAACCTGCTTTCCAGCTCTGTTCTCCTGTGCAGGGCAATGAAAGAAGAACCAGCCAATCAGCTGGGACTTCGGAGGCAGAGAATAGATGGGGGCAGGACCAGTCAGAGGTGGTATTTGCCGGTTCTCTGAACTACTCAAAAGTTCCACTACCAGTTCTCCAGAACTGGTCAGAACCTACTGAATACCATCTCTGGATTTGGTGTAATAAAGATAAATGTTGAAATAATCCATTGGTAGCATTGAAGCAAAACTATTTTCACGTTTACTAATACTGTTTCTGCAATTTGTCCTCATTCCTTCTGCATATCTAAAAAAAAAAATACTATTTTTTTCTCTTATCCTACTGTACTAATCATAAAAAATATAACTTATTTTCATTTTTCTTAGCTTGGGTTTTTCACTACAATGTAGAATATTTTTCTTTAGGATTCCAGCAAGACAGTTAGGATTCCATTCCATTCCATTCCATTTCATTCTACCTTTCACAGTACAAGTGTGAAGGTTTTTTTTTCACCCACTCAGTTTTTGCAAAGAGTTCCCTCATGCTATTTGATACCTTCTCTCCATATCTCAGATCTAGATGTGTCCAGTATGTCCATGCATCCAATGCCAAAGACACTTTTGCTATGACAAACTTTGTTTTCCCATGAATAAAATGAGGGTAATAGTAACCTGTGTCAGAAATTACTAGTTAAAACAAATACACACATAGCAAGAAATTAAAGTAAACTGAAGAATAGATAATAGTTCAATAACAGCAGATCTGATTGCTGCAAATGAATGAAAGTGACAATGGGGATTTATGCTATTCAAGCAGTGAAATTAGGACATATTTGCTCAAACAACAAACCAATGAATATCCTGTACATACAGTGTTCTGGCAGAGGAAGCTTATCCTAGGATGATTTGTGAACTGTTTGAAATGTGAGATTGGCCATGTTATTTTATTCTTTGAAGAATAATTATTAGATTTTGTTTATATGTTTAAGTACAGAAAATCTGCAACTCAGTCAAGGCATTATACCATAATGAATTCAGTAAACACACAATCTTTTTAATTTCTGCATTGGTTTTTATTTATCTTGACAATGATGTCACCTTGAGTATATCACTTTATAATGGATTTGTGGATTATGGGTGTGGCTTTCACAAGGATTGGTATAGGATGCTAAAGAATATAGGATGCTAAAGAATCTGAAATAATCCTTTTTTTAAATAGAATTAGGTAATGACTCATGGTTGTGAAACCAATCACTGTTTTCTTTGGCTTCTCTGTACAGATCAAATTGATCAAAGACTTTTTCAAAAGTAAACTTTGTATATTTATGTATTTTGCTGGGGGAAATATGTGCACATGTACATGTGTGCATGCACGTGTGTGAGTGTAAGCAAAAGAAAATCTGTATCAGCAAATTGATACATTATTGCATATATTACATAAATAATTGCAAGAGTCCTAGAGGCAGTGGACCTGAATACTCTGAATATTCGAAGGACCATCTTTTCCCAGTCACATCTTCCCAATCTGCTAGAGCAGGGAGGCAGGGAATGTTATGGGTCTCCTCTCTTAGAAAGGTCCATCTAGCAGGACCAAAAAGAAGGGCCTTCTCCATGGTGGCTCCATCCCCATGAAATATCATCCCACAGAAATAAACTTGCTCCCCACCGCTTTAACACTGTTTTGCAAGGCCCTGAGAATCTGATTTTGCCAATGGACCTGGGGACCCCCAGCATGGGATGGAATCCATCAAATGGCTCATTTGATTGTTGTTGCCCGATGGGAGGGTGTTATTGCTCTCTATTGGGTTTTTTTATTGTTTTCATCCCTGCAAGCCATCTAGAATAACTGAGAGTGAGTCGGGTAGCCTAAATAAATAAATAAACAAACAAATATAAAATAAAATAAACTTGAGGAAAAAAGTTTCAGTACTAACATTTAATAAATATTGTGTGGTGCTCTCTATTAAAATGATCTCTATGATATGAATTTGCCATAATGCTATTAGCCATGATGCAGTTCCCCCCTCAAAATTTGGATCCATCTCCTGTTGCCTGAAGCTTGCCCTTTTCTCCAGTTCTGCTCCCTTTCTATTCAGTTCCTTTAGTTGCTTCTTGTCTGCTTTTCAACACTCTGTTAATATTCATGGGTGACCAAGCAATGCTAATTATTTTTAATTTAGTATGTGTTAATTTCCCCTTACTTCTCCAACTAGCTTTTCTCTGTGATCATCTCTTTTCCCATATTTTATCTGTGCCCTTTTCACTTTTAATTTTTTAATAAATTTCACTTTTTATGTACCTGCTTTTTCCCCCCTCCATTTTTCCTCACTGGAATTATTTGTATTTGTGTTTTTAATATCTATTTTTTTATGAACTCTCACACATTTTAAGCATCTTTTTCCATTAGCTTTTCTCTAAATTTATCAGAGCAATACGTTTATTTATTAAAATTCATTTTCAAAAGTATAAAATGTATTTTAGGAAATTCAACTTTGATTGTGTGCTATCAAATTGATATTGACTCTTAGCAACCATGCAATTTCTCTAAAAGTACTCCTGAATTATATGATCATTTCCCCCCAAGTTCGTCCTTCTTCTATTTCTTTGACTAAAGTAGGTTATGGATAAGAATTTAGATAAATATCAAGTCAAACATAACATGCTCTATTAAACCAGTCAGTATGTAGCCAGTAAGTCAAGTCAATATCTTAAGATTCCACCATGTATAACATTTAATTAAAAAGTAAGAAGATTTCTACAGATCATGTTTGCAAACTGTGCTTTTTGTAATTCATAATTTCTTCTCTATCTAAACAACAGCCCTGTTTATTAATTTCCAACATATTTATTGCCCTAACATTTTTATGCACATATCTCCTGTGTCCCCACAAAGTAACCAGACTTGTAATTTGTTAATGAAATAAATGTATGTTTCTCCAATTTACATATTTTTTTAAAAATCAGATATAATCATTCTACTTTGATGTATATATATTTTTGGTTGTAGAATTTAATACCATATGTTGTAGGAAGAAGAGAGGGTCAAACAAATAGCTTTTAAAGCTACATCATCTACAGAAAAAGATAGAATTATGTGTTTAAAATAGTCCTTTTTTTCTCTTATTTAACATTAAGATAGAATCCACAATCTAAGGCCCAGGTGTATAACACCCATCTCTATTTAGTACTAAGGATTTAGGTATACAAATTTTAAATTAAATGACTGATTAAGCAATTGGGTTGGAACCAATTTTACGCTGCAACTTATTTTGATTAATAAATCTGAATTTGAAGAGTAAAACTTTCAATTAGTTTCACTAAATTTCCATCAAAATAAAGAAAACATAAATCATGAGTGATTTATCCCACTACCAATCAACCCATATTTTTTCTCATACAGGACTGGTCCATTTGCAGTTCATGGATTGCCCGCATCTCAGAAGCTGTTTTTGAATAGTGAGGTGAATTCTTTCATGTTCCCTATGAAACCAGCCTTACCGCCCCACCCCCTAATGAATTTAGAGCAGTAAGAATACAGTATTAGTAAACTATTTATTTGCTGGGAAGAAAATGTCATGACTTCTCTTTTGTCATGCTTATTTTTTAAAACTAAAGAGTGTACATGTCTACAGGAAGAAGCAATGTGTGTGGAGTGACATGGGTTGGATGTATGGCTAAGTGCTGTGTGTGACAGGGCTTGGCATGCCCAAAGGCACAACTGAGAGGGTTTGCCCAAAATCTGAGGCAGTTCCCTGGACCCAAACTTCTGCCTATCTCTTGCCACAAGGGAAACATTGAGGAAATCATTCAGTGAGTCAAATGGTTTTAACCCAAGTGCCCAGTTATGCAACCAATGAAGTAACAAAGAGCTTTCTGTTCTTTTAAAGTAGAAAATAAGAAAATGTGTATAAATAACATGATTTAAACCATTCTTTTAAAGTTAGATTTCTCTTTTTAAATCAACCTTTTTTGCCTTCCACATGGTAGAAATTAGGAGAATAGTGGATTGAAGATGATAATTTTAAAGTGAAAGCAAAGCATTTTCTTCTCTTTCGGGAAGACAATTTTTGAAATCATTTTTTTTTCTTTTTGTCATTACAAACATTACAAATGCCATTTATTTCATGGTTGATTCTACATCTTCTCTTCTCTCTCATTGACTTGGGAGGATACTACTTTTCCATCCACCATCTCTTCGACCACAGTCTTGATCCTCAGAGTTTTAATTTTTTCTGGAAATAATGGTGGAAAAATTAAGTCATTCAACAAGCAATAATAGGATGTTAGTGTTGATATGAGTAATGTAGTACATTTTTTTAAAAAAACTTGTCCTTTGGAAGATTTCTGTTAATGTCACATCATCTTATGATTGGAATATAATGGAAAATAAAGCTGAGCCTCTGGAACAACAAGCTCCATGGCTAAATACAGATATAAATATAAATCTTTTAAATTTATATAGACCTATAAATATCTTTTATTTTATTATATTTTTATTATATTTATTTTATTATATTTTATTTAATATATTTTATTCTTGGTATATATTTATTCTTGGTATGATATTAGTTTAGGCTTTATGCTACATTTTTTTTTTCAGAGATCAGGAACACCACAAAAGAGTATTATTCTTTCCAGTGAAATAGTTCCTCCAATGGGAAAAAAAAAACACAAATGTGGTGAACCCTTCAATGGGGAAAGCAGCGTTGGGAACATACCCTTACCTTTTTCAATCTCTTTGCTTGTCTCTAAATCTGAAGCAATCGTTCTGTTTAAAAAAACAATATATATTGTCAGTCTCCTGGTTTCATTTTAAAGTAGCCTTTACAAACCTGATGCTGTTCACATATCTTGGATTACAGCTCCCAGAATGTCTGAGGAATAAAGCACAGTTCAAGTGGGCATCAATTCAGCAATGGCCATTTAAAGGAATTAAAATGGGTTTATTAGGTCCTAGTTCTTCATTTCCATTTGCCCAGGACAGTTTCTCAACCTTGGTAACTTGAAGATACATGGACTTCAACTCTCAGAATTCCACAGTTGAGAAATACTGGCCTAGGACTTTGGACAGAGTAAATGTCATTGAACAAATCAAAATATACAATATTGCTCTTGGGATGAGCTATATGAATTTTTTCTGCGACCCCAATTTTTTGTGACTCCCAAAAAATTACCTAGCATCGTTTTTTTGCAAATGGTATATTGGTTTGTTACTGGCCATCTTAAACATCTTTGGAGCATCTTGTTAGAAATCAGTTTTACCCATTTTGTTTTTAAAATCCTTTTCCTAGGTAATGGCTTTCTGCTAACTTTCAGAACTAAATTTCTCTAATCTGAATTATTTACCTCCAATTCTCCCCTTCCAGGAGACGGCGATAAGTAGCAATCTCTACTTCTAGCTTGACTTTAATGTCCAAGAGGATGTTGTATTCAGTACTCTGTTGCTCCATGTCACTCCGCAGCTGCATTAGTTGGGCCTCAATGTTTCCAATGGCCATTTGAATTTGAGTCAATATAGTTCTGTAATGAGCTTCAATTTCTGCCACGGCATTCTCTCGTTCAGTTTTCTAGAGGAATATAATGAATGCATGGTTGGACAAGTACTGGCACTAGCTGGAATTTGGCTTCCAGACTGAAGGGTGTCAATTTCATTAGGATTTTCTTCTCCCCACCTGCTTAGCAACTGTTTGTGATCATGATAGATTTAACAATGCTATTAGTTTTGATAAAAGTGTGGGACTCTGTTTCTTTGATCAACACAAGAAGAATTACCTCAGTCTCATAGGCTTTCTAAAATCTTACTAAAATCAGTATATAGCTAAACCTGGTTGAATTTATTTGTTTGTTTGTTTATTTATATTTCATACTTTTTAATTGCCCATCTCTCTTCCTATCCCTCCCTCATCACATATTATTTAGTATATAATCCCTGTTTCTCTTAAACTATTTCTGAATAATAACAGTTTCAACTTGCTTGTTGTTTTACCAAGCAATTTCAAATGAAGTCAACACTGATGAATCTACCATTGTAGGAAACTTTAGCGTGGTGGGCCCTACATTATTATGTAATGAATCAAGTGTTGGGCCCTACATTATTATGTACTGAATCAAATACATTTTTAATACAAGGGGGACAAAGTTTATGGATTTTCCAATGGTTCTATGCTGTCTAAAAGTTGCCACTGTGTAAATATAAAAATTACAATTAAATAGCTGGGAGAATTTTTAAAAAATAAATAAATACAGAAGTAATCTCCAACAAAAGGATCAGCAACCTTATATACTTTAATTAACAGACTTTACCCAGCTCAGTTGAGATTGGAGTTCAATCTCCAGACTTTGGAGTATATTCCTCCGGTCTGTAATCTCACTTCTGTGTGTTTCAAGTTGATGGGTAGTTGTGGTGACTTCCACATTCAATTGTTCAATCTGAAGTGCAAAAAATAAATAAATAAATTTAAAATATCCAGTGAATACAAGGCAAATAATGCTGTAATACAGGGTAGAGGTTTAAGAGGATTAATTAGAGATTTAAAATATTTCACTTGATATATATCCTAAGTGTATCTCATTAATATCTGCACAGTTAAGGGAATACAAAAGTAATAAATACTGCAGCTGCTACTACTTCTTGATTATAAGAACTGAAAAGGGCTATTTTAGAGTTAGATTAGGTTAGTTTATATCAGAATTCACAAAACTCAGTATTTCAAATGTCTTTACTTCCAACATCATCATTCTAACCTCATTCTAAAATATAGCTATGGATGCAAACAAATACTATGATCACAGGCATACTTTTCCTCTTCCATCCATTCCTTAAATCTGAAGAAAAATGACCTATAAATTAAAAAGAAAGTTTCTGAATTTCAAGTGTGTTGATTCAAATAAAGAAGCTGGTCTGCATTTTTCTATGTGGGGCCATGTGCTTAATAAGGCTTTGGGGAAATTTACCTTGAATTTCCAGTTTGTGAACAATTAATAGCTTGTTTCAGAGATGAGTTGTAGAAAGAAACACAAACAAAACTACAATAAAGTTTCTGTAGTTTGTAAAGTATTAAATATAATAACAAGCATCACCAATTTATCAAACCGATCCTTAGCTTCTTGACGGTTCTTTTCAGCAAGGATTTCATATTGCTGGCGCATGTTTTCCATCACTTGGGCCATATCAATGCCTGGAGCAGCATCTATCTCCACAGAAACATTCCCACTCAGCTGTCCGCGTAGTCTTGCTGTTTCCTATAATTGTTTACAAAAATTATTAATTAAATCTATGATCAATTCAAAAAATGTATTCTGATCAGTTTTCTATATTCCATTAAAGTATTTTGAGCTATAAATTTGGTCTATTAGCAAAGCAGCTATCCGCCATCACATAGAATTCCCGAAGAAACTGGGATTGAAATAGATCTTAGATTCTTTCTAAATCTCAATAGCCAGTTTAAAAGAAATGATGAAATTACAAAGAAGAATTAGAGGCAATGTAATTGAATTGCAGATCTAAAGCAAATTACAGAACTTGTTGATTTCCAGGAACTTTGACGTCTCCATCATGCTCATGCTAGTTGGAAAGATGAAAATTTAAGACATCTCAGAAACACAGGGAACTTGATCCCTGTTATAAAGTATACTAGTTTACAGAGAGCAATCCTTTCTGGAAAGGCTTTCAATCCTGAATATGCTTTATTTGAAGAGATGTCCAGTCCAGGATAAAGAACCACAAAAAGAACCATGAGGCAAGGCTTTGAAATCTAGAGTTAGTTCATTAGTTCATGAACATCTAGCTGAAGAAAATCAAAATGATACCGTAGACTGTATGGTGTATTGTGAGACAATATCACTTTTGATGGCTAAATACTCTTGTTTCTTTCAATATTTTTTTTTGTCTGTGGCCTATAAAAAGCTATCAGTTCAATAACCCTTCTTCATTCACTAGGGCATATAATCTACTTCACTTCCTCATTCACTGGACTATATAGCCTAATATATTACACTAAACTGGGCTGCAAAAATGCAGATAATCACTAGCTCATAGCAAAGAAGTAGAATATTTATATCCTTCTGTTGTCATCTTGATTTAGTTATCTGGATTTCTGCAGTCAGATCTGAAAGTCCTCCTGCAGGAAGTGATGTTCTATGGTGATTCTGACTAACACAATTCTCTCTCTCTTTTTGTGTGTATGTTTTCCTTGCTTAGTTCTACCATGTGTATTAAAACACAAACATCTGTAGCTTCTATAGATCAATAGTTTGAATAACAAACTATAGGAGGAACATTCATAAGTCTTTGATTCAATTGGTGATGTTTCCTTACCTCCTCATGTTGTTTCTTGAGGTAAGCCAGTTCTTCTTTCAGACTTTCAATTTGGTGTTCCAAATCAGCCCTAACTAGTGTGAGCTCATCAGTTAGTCCCTGTAATCCTGTGATGTCATTTTCCACATTTAGTCGCAGGCTCAACTCAGTTTCATATCTATTTATTTTTAGAAAAAATGTATAACAAGTCAGGATTATTGCAAAATAATCAATTTCTCTATCAGTTCCACTTTATCTTTACATATGACTGGCTTCTTAATAATAGTTTGGTTGCAATGATGTCTTTGGAGCAGATCCTCCCAAACAATTGCCACTTTCTAAACAGAAATTATTTGTACAAGACTTGTAATCATTTTGTAAGTATTAAGCCATCACAAAATACATTGTTGGAATAGTTACTAAGTTTTAGCCATGGGCTTCATCAGCAACAGTAGTCAATAACATTAAAATGGTGAGTGTGACTGGGTGGTTAAATCTCTATTCCTTTTAACAACAATCGCCTACTCACACCTACCATTTTGATATTGTTGATCAACCTTGTATACATTCTAGTTATGGTGTAATTACAATCTGTTGCAAGATAGCTTTATTCCAGTGTGAATTCAGTTTTGAATGCTTTGTAGTTCTTTCCAAAAGCTATTTTTTGGGGCAGAAATAGCAAACCTTGCAAAACTACCTTTATTTTTAAGTTGTACCAGGAGGACATGATTTTGATTTGAAAAAGAATAAGCTGGTTTTTTTTAATAATATTGTCTTCCTGTTGGTCATCTCATTATCCTACTACCAACATTGGCAGTGATATTCAGCAGATTGTACACATTAAAATTCACAGGTTGTTGTTGGGCTGAGAAGAAATAGTACTGGTATATCAACATAGTTCACATAGTTCGCTATGATTAAAATTCATCATTCTTTCAGTGGTACACTGTTTAAAGTTATTTATATTAAATATAGCTTCCATGCCTTTTTGAAAATATTTGTTAATTAAATCTTGCTGAAGATGTTGATTGCTTTCTATAGTGTTTTTAAAATGCATACTTTACTCTGAAATCATCAGCAGCCAACTTGGAATTGTCAATTTGCAATATGATCCTGGTGTTATCTATTCGGGCTTTGGTAATCTGAGAAAGAATAAAATATAACAAAAAACAAAGCCTTATTCTTTTGATTTCAGTACTTAGAATAATTAACTAGAAGTTAAATACTTCAAAAAAAAAAACCTTGAATACTGTAAATATTCAACAAAACTACTTTTTCAGCTGGATTTCAAGCTTTATGTAAAGTTAGCAGCTTCCTTTTCAGTTTGAGTATTTGGACACTCACGTGTGGAAGTGTCCTTAAATATTACTCCCTTGCAGATGAATTAATAGCCTGATTGTTAATTACATATATATGGGTAATGCAATAGTTTAGCTTAAGAGATACAAAGCTAGCGCTATTTGTTGCTGGTGCAAATGCTAAATACTGTAGTATTTAAATGTAGGACAGGTCCTGAGAACTGCAGCATCTGAAATAAAAGCCTATCCAGCATTTATGTGAAGTCATCTACCTCATTCTATTCTTTCAGTGGTCCTAAAGCCCAATATAATATCCCATATATTTACATGTAAAATAAAAGTCATCATTGAAACAAAGCTTTTGGTAGTACCCACATATTTTACAGTCAATGAAAAATATATACAATCCATTCCACTCTGATTAAAATGTCTAATGTGTACATTGCACCATTGCTGTAAATCAGAAATTGGGAAATTTATAATAGTATGCAGCACTTGTTATTCCCTAACTAGCCATCCTTGTGTAGGTAAAATATCATGGACCATTTCTGGGAATGGAACATTCATTCATCAGTTGCAAGCATAAGTATTTGCGTACTGTTAAATCTCAAAGCAGTTTGTAACCCATACAAAATATTTATATAAAGTAGGAGAATCTAACAAAAAGATACAAAGTCTAAAGATGAGACAGAGGTGATGGTACCTCCCAGCTTAAGCATCAGCTTTACCTGTCCTGTTTTCTGGCAATATATCTTTTCTGTAGCTTTTAAAAAACTTTTCTACTGAACCAGCATGTCTATTCTACTCCACTACCTCTTTCTCATGTCAAACATCTATTGAGCTAGATGACTAAACTGCAGATTTAAAATAAATTTGACTTTCCATTTGTTAACACCTTCACAGGAATTCCTTGCTGAAAGTAGTGCAGGATTGTATATGCTAAAGATCGAATCAGATTTTTATTTCAGTTAATTTTTCCAAATAGTGATAGAAACTGTAGTAACATATAGACTACTTCATCCACTACTTGAGTAAACAGTACCACCCAGAAAACATACAATATATTTACTAAGAGATACAAAGACGCAAGGGCTGCCAAAGTAAGAGAACCATTTGGCTTAACAATAAACATGAAAAAGAGCCAGGTTATGTTTATTCACCAAAGATTTTTTTTTATATCTGGAGAAGAACTAGATGTAATAGATCACAACATATACCTTGGCCAACGGATCTCAATGGAAGATGATATAATAAATTGAATGGTGTGTTAAATGTGGTTGGCAGGCATTTGGCAAACTAAGCATAATTTTCAGGAACAACCTTCTCCTATGCCTGAAGAGAAATGTTTTCTGCCAGTATGCTGCTTGCTCTAAAATAGTGAAACATGGGCATTAACCTCACAATTGAAACAAAAGCTATGAGTGGTGCAAAGAGCCAAGGAAAGATACATGCTCGGCATTACAAGATAAGATAGAAAAACCTGCACATGGATTAGAGAAGAAATAAAAATATAAGATAACATCAAGAGAGTAAAGGAATTGAAATGGAAATGGGCCGGTCACATATCAAGAAGAACCAATGGCAGCTGGACCAAGGCAGCCATAGAATGGATCCCCCTTTATAAGAAGCATCCATGAAAGATACCTAAAACAAGATGAATCTATGATATCAGCAAGTATTGCGGGCCCTATTGGCAAAAGAAAGCTCAGGACTGTATTGCTTGGAAACATGTGGAAGGGGCCTTCATCCTGCAGTGTATAGACAATGGCTAAAATGATGATAATTTGAATATAATATCATTAACGAGATTAGAATAGTTGCAGAATGGTTACAAGAGAGTTGTAACGAATTAATTAAAAATCTTACACATAAGGCATTTCTGATCAAGGTTGATAGATAGCAACCCAGAACAGAATGGTTGCTAACCTGGTGAATATCCTCACCCACCTCTCAACAGTCTTTGGGAAGACTGTGAGAGGGCCATAATGTCAGATAATTAGAAAATGAAAAGTTTGATACTTGCCAGGACTAGGTTAGCCCTAGAGTGACTAGATATACAACAATTAGTGTGTCAGAGCCTCTCCCCCACTTTTTTTCTTTTTACTGCACAATTGGTACACATCTGACAACCTACGATATTCAATTACAGAAAGGCACTTATAATACCTTCATAAACATTCTGCAATATTATTGTTAGAAGACAATGATTTGATTAATGACATAACTGTGACATATCCTTCAACATAACTTGCCTTCAAAAACAATACATTGTCTATTCTTAACTGTCTCATGCAGTAAAACTGTTCAGACACAAAATCTTACCTTATCTTGAAGTTCTTCAATTACTTTAAAGAAGGCGTTATAGTCTTGCTTAACAATAGGGGAAGTCTTTTCACACCACTCCCGGATCTGCTTTTCCAAAACCGAGTTTGAAGTTTCTAAGGAGTGTACCTTTTCCAGGTAGGCAGCCAAACGGTCATTCAGATTCTGCATGGTAGTTTTTTCATTGCTTGTAAGCAGCAGTTCATTTATGGAAGTGCTGCGTAGCAAATTACTGCCAAGGGTATTGCTATAGTTACTGCCATATGAAATTCGGGTGCCAGAGCCACCTGCTCCTCCATGGACACTGGGTGTTCGGGTTTTTTTTATGGATGACATTCTATAGATGGAACCATGAACAGGTGATCCACCACTTTCGAAGAAGACATTTTTTAAATTGACACTGCCAGATCGAGCCATTGGTAGTGTGTATATACGTGTCTAAAAAACAAAATATCTAAAGCACTCTTGCAGGAGAAAATGCTGCATAAGGCAGTTTCGGACCTTTTTATTTGGATGTAAAAAGGAGGGTTGACATGGCTGAACTCCGCCTTTTTTGATAACAATTATGGGGAAATTGGCACTATTTTATTCTGTACTATGGCTTGGTAATAAAAGAGACATTTAATCAGTCTTTGTGCTTCAGTCCAAAGTCCAGAGAAGATTAGTATTTCTTTATGATTATTTCACTATACAGTATTTACCCCTTCAACCTTCAGCCATAATTTGTGTAATGAGACCTCGCCCTCAAAACTAACTAAGGAAAATGTCAATAAAAAGGCTAAAGTTTATACTCATATCTCTATTTAAATAAAATTTGCCTTGAATTCTTGCATTGAATTCTTGCTCCAACATTAATTTTCACATAACCTCCCTAGGAGTAGAAGTACTGAATGTTCTGTAGTAGTAAATCCATCTTTGTGGATGTAAAGTAATAGTAAGTAGAAGTAATGTAAGTTGGGCAAAATACATTTTCCATGAGGATGCAAATTTGTGGATTATTGAATAGCGCCACGATTAATCCATATTGGTCCAGTATTACCAATCTAATTCTCATGAGCTTTTGCATTTGTACTTACTATAATATAGGAAAAATGAACAAGAATATGTTAATATGGTAACTAATATAAATTTCATCCAGATCTTAGAAAATATTTAAAAAGCATTTTTGGCTGGAACATTTCTGTTTACAAAATAGTTCCATTTCACAAAATCATAGTGAAATGAGGGAGGAGAACCCTCAAAGAACACTAAGCTTAAATCTCAGCCAGTAGAGGAATTGTGGCCTGCATCTTGCACAAAGTCCTTTTTCTCTGGCCCTCATCCTTATCAATCCCTCTGCTAAAATGTGGTGAAAATTTACTTTTTTTAAAAAAAGATCCTCCTAATGCCAAAATGGGGGGGGGGATTCAGACCCATCTCTTGAACGACCTTAAGCTACTGCTAAACTATGTTTAGTTTAATTTAAACCCTAATCCTGTCCCTGGGTGAGATCTGCCACCCCCTCCTATCCTTTCATAAAAGCCCAAAAATCTGGCTCTGCCGAGTGGCCTGGGGAGGGACCTAATGGAGGAAATACCACACTAGAGGTGGATATTAGACTAATAGCTGACCACATCTGCCCCCCTTGTGCATCCTGCTTTCTCCCACCCATCTTTTAATTCATATTGCTGTACTTTCATTATTTATTTTTATTGTTTTCATTGTTTTGCTAATTTTACATTTCTTATAATTTTACGTTCTGCTGTTGTAAGCTGCCCAGACTAGCCCCAAGATGAGATGGCCGCAAACACATTTAATAATAAATATAACAATAAGTAAAAATAAACATTTAATCCACTTGACAATGTTAAATTCTGTGGTTTGTATCCATAACAGTTTTGCCCTCTCCATAACGTTAGTCCCTGCTTGTTGTAACATCTACATTGTTCCATAAAAATCTTCAATTCTGGGGGACTTCTGATTTGCAGGGCTTCGGTGGCAGGCAGGAATCTGTGATTGTGCGTGGTTTCTGCCTGGGCTCGCCACTGGAGCGCCCCGAGCCAGCTGGCTTCGGGGCTAAGCCACCCCATAGAGGTGGTGAAGATGGGGGAGCACCAGCATCTCTCCTCCTCAGCTGGCCAAATTCCCTTTCCTGAAGGCGGTAAGAGCGGCGGTCAGAAATGGCCGCCTCAAAGAAGCACTCAACTGGAAAAGAAAGTGCAGGAGGAAGTTAAGAAGTGAAAGTTTTGGCTGACCGGGATAAAAAGCAACAACTAAGGTATCCTGGAATTTAAATTTTATAAAAGATACATCGCTCCCAAAGAAGAGTCGGAAGCAGCGAATGAAAGTGAAAAGGGAAAGTTTTTTTTCTCTTCAGTCTCCTTCCTTACGTTGACAGCAAAGAGAGCTGAATGAGAAATTGGAAAAATCCCCTTTGGCACCAATAGGTAACTAAACTGGAAATATAATTAAATGCGAAGGGGACAAGAAAGATTTTTGAACACTAAAAAAATTCTTTTTTTGTTATAAGTGGGAAGGGAGAGGAAAAGAATAAGCGCAGGATTTGGAAGGAGGAGTCTGACTGGAACTCAAAAGAATCAAAAGTTAAATCTTAATAAGACTTCTAAAAGATACATTTTAACTGGAACTTTGCAACCAAATAGTAACCCCAGGAAGAGAAAGTGAAAAAAGAAGAAAGTGTTAAAAGAAACAGCTTGTGTGTATTTGGACTGCTTGGTGACATTGGAATTTTTGGAAATTATATTTGAATGACTAAAAATTGGGTGGTTGTTTAAAAAATTCTACAATGGCATCACTTCTGGATGAACTGAAAATGGAATTTAAAAAATATAAAGAAGAGGCACAAGAAGGGAAGGGCTCCTTTGGTTCTGTTTTTCAATTCTTAGAAATGCCGATCTGCACCTATGAGAAACAACAAGAAAAGACTGCACAACTAGAAGAGCGGGATAAAGAAGAAGCCATCTTTAATGAACAAGTAACTCTATCTGGGGAAGAAAGGGGAAAGGGGAGAAAGAGAATGGAGAATTTAAGACTTAAAAAAACAGCCAAAAAAGGGAAAAATAATGTAAAAAGTGGATATGATATTGGAAAGCAACAGAAAAGGGGAATACAGAAGAGGGAAATGGAGGTGGAGAGACAAGGGGGTAAAAAGGGGAGAGAGAAGAAGGAAGGGAAGAAGGAAGGGAAGAGAAGTTACAAAGGTTTGGAGCAAGATGTAAAGAAACAGGACTTATTCAGAGATAATGGGTGAAAATTTAACTGAAAAAGGGATTCTGTAAAGGTACATAAGATTGTATTGTTATATTTGTATTAGAAATGATGTTAGAAAATTGGAAACAACATATGATTGAAAAGTGGGTTAAAATAGTCAGTGTAATTCAGTGAAACTTTTATGAACAAAGTAAATGAAATGAAATAAATGAGAGAATTGAATTAGGAAGGAATGGGAACATTTTAACTACTCAATGTTTTATAAAATATAAGTGAAGTGGGGGATAAGTAATTATGGAAAGTCTGTAAGTGTTCCCATAGAAGTATGATATTTATTTGAAAAGTAATGTGTAAAATGTTTAAGATTTAAATGAATATTGATATTAATGATAGAATTGAATTGGTATGGATTGTCGTTTTAATTATATTATATATTTATAATTTTTTCTTTTAAAAAAATGCACTGTGTAGTTTTAGAATGTACCAAGCAGAATCCGAATGGAAGTTATGTATTATATTAAGTGTTATAATTTTAGGGGAAAGATATAAAGGCGTCATACTCCAATCAGTGATTACAAGAGAAATTTTGTTTAATGAGAAAAGAAAATAGACAGCTGAAACAGGACAGACAAAGAATATAAGTACAATGATTTGAATTGAGATGAAATAAATAAAATAAAATAAAGAAAGTTAAAAGAGGAGAGAAGCTATATAGAAAATGTAGAATGGTAATAAGATATGGAATGGTATACAAAAATGAGCATGAACTTGAATTTGTGTCTGTACGAAGAGATGTAACCCGGGATCATGCTGCTTTCAAAAAAGATGTTTTATGTTTTTATGTTCTATGTTTTGTTTGTTTATGTTTGTTTTTAAAAATTAATAAAATTTAAAAAAAAAAAAACTTCAATTCCCAGAAAAATTGCAGTTGGATAAAGAGGAATTAGTGAAAATCAGGGAGTTCCTGTTGTATTGAAAAATTGCTTTTAGATGCAATTGTTTAAATCATGGTTTAGAATGCAGTATGACTGTGCCCATTGCCAGGAGTTTTAACAATATTACTATTGTTAAATACTCCCTTTCTTTGCTTTCCTTTCTGACCTCTGCAACACCTTTTTTTTTTTAGATGGATTGCCAATTGTATAAATTAGGCCAGACCAGGAAACTGACTCGCAGGAAGGCTAGAACTATACTTTTTTGACATGGGTTATAGTAACAGAATCTTGCTAGTCTGCCTGTTATTTTCACTTCCCTTTCCGAGCACTCCTTGCTAGCACTGATAACATTACCTAGTTAGGGTAACAAAAGAAGCAAGCTCAGATAGCACCAAGGACCACCCACTTCCCTCTCTCTCACACTCTAGGGCAGTATTTCTCAACCTCAGTAACTTTAAGAGGTATGAATTTCAATTCTCAAATTTCCCGATCTGCCAAGCTGTCCACATATCTTAAAACATACTGGCTGAGGAATTCTAGGCACTGAAATCCACACTTAAAAATTGCTGAAGAGAAAATGTGAAATCTTATCTGGAGAGAAGTTGGATTTCATCCCTTCTAAAGGTAGTCCTTAATTACAATAGTTCATTTAGAGACTCTTCAAAATTACAATGGTGCTGAAAAAACTTATGACAGTGATTTATGACTGTTCCCCATATTCATGTGATCAAAATTTAGAGACATGGTAACTGATTCATATTTATGATGGTTGCATTGTCTTGGGGTTATGAGATCACCTTTTGAGACTTTCTGACAAGCAAAGTCAATGGGAAAGCCAGATTCATTTAACAACTGTGTTACTAAATTAACAACTGGAGTGATTCAATTAGCAACTGTGGGGAAAAAGTTTGTAAAATGGAGCAAAACTCATTTCACAAATATCTCACTTAGCAAAATATTGGGCTCAATTGTGGTCGTAAGTTGAGGAATACTTGTACTTATTCAGGTGGTCATCAGGAATCAAGATTAGAAGGCACATATACATACACATTCTCATTAAATTTTAATTATTGACCTTTTGACTTGTTACTATTAGTTTAATTAACACTGAAGAGAGTGGGAGATTGTATTTGCATGCCTTTGCTAAGTACAGTGGAACCTCGGGTTGCAAACGCTTCTGTTTGCGACCAAATTGGGTGACGACCAGAATTTTCGGAACAGCTTTGCTTCTGTCCCGAACAGATCTTCAGGTGGAGACCAAGCAAGCCTGAAAATAGCTGTGATGA